TGCTATAACCCGAGGGTCTCACCCAGATCCCAAACTTTGTTCAGGATGTGTCATAAAAAAGCCGATTACACGGTCGTGGCTTGGGGGCAGCCTCTCTGCTTCTCACACTGTGAGGCCTTTTTCACAAGTGGCACGGAAAGAGCCTTCGGCTTTAGCATCTCTTTAAGATTTCGTGAAGAGCCTGGGTTTTATTGGCCTGAAAAGTACCGTTGCGCTCTCCTGAAAAGGTCTAGATTCTGCCAGGCTGTGCCGTGCGTGACCAGCCGTGTGCTGCTCATGCCCCATAAGATTCTGCCATCGCTCTTCCCTTAGGGTTGCCAGCTTCCAGGTGGGCTTCGCTCTTCCCTTAGGGTTGCCAGCCTCCAGGTAGGGCTTGGAGATCTCCTGCTATTATTATTGATCTTCACGCTACAGAGACCAGTTCTCCTGGAGAAAATGGCTGCTTTGGAAGGTGGACTTCATGGCATTATGCCCCACTAAGGTCCCTCCCCTCCAGGGCTCTTTTTGTAGAAAAAGCCCAGCAGGAACTCATTAGCATAACAGGCCACACCCAACAGCAGAAACTCATTAGCATATTAGGCCACACCCCTGACAGCACAGCTCATTACCACATTAGGCCGCACCCCCATGTTACCAGAAGTGTGGTCATCCAGCCACACCCACCTTTTGCTTCTTATTCTGTTTACCTTGTTTGTTGTCAAAATCCAGGGCTTTTTTTGTAGCAGGAACTTCTTTGCAAGTTAGGCCACACACCCCTAATGTAGCCAATCCTAACGAGTTTCTGCTGTTACCTGTTGGCTATTATGCTAATGAGTTCCTGCTGGGCGTGGCCAACTCGGGAGCCAGCCGTTCCTGCCCCAAAATAGCCCTGCTTATACCCCATCCTCCCCAGGCTCTACCCCCCAAATCTCCAGGTATTTCCAAACCCAGAGTTGGCAACCCTTCCTTGCCTCCAGATCCCATCCTAATTGACTCTTTCTCTGACCTCCCACTCCCAGATTTTTTTAATTAAAAAATTCTCGGATTCCGGTGGGCTCCATCTTCACCCAACCAGCTTCTGGCTGTATTTGCCAGGAGCAAGCCTTATTTTTTGGTACTCGTCGCCCTATTTTTACCTTTGGCAGAACTTCTTTGGGGATACTCTTCGAAGTTTGTTTGTTTAAGCACACAGGTACTAGGACTGCTGCTTGTGAGGTTTTCAGCTTCTTCAGCGTGGGCTTTAGAACTTAAATCTTCAGGTAGGGAATAGACGCATCGTCTCCGTAGGGCTGCAAGAGGGAAGTCTTGCTGCGCTTTAGGGCAGCTGGGGAGTGAGAGTCATTGGATGCAACAGAGACCAGAGCCAATACTCCCTCTAAGCTATGGAGTCTTGTGAGCAAAAATTCTACTTTGTGAGCTAAAGTTGTGAATGAGCGATTTGGCTGCTGCATAAATTGGAGCCATCCTTCCTGAGCTAAGACAAAAATGGGTGAGCTGGAGGCTAAAAAACTGTGAGCTAGCTCACACTAACTCAGCTTAGAGGGAACACTGACCAGATTTCCTGGATATTGAATAATTGTGCAGGAAAGGAGATTCCACAAGGCACAGCTTGGCACAAGAGGACCGAGTAAGGAAATTTGCACCTGTGAAATTCTCTTTTCTGCATGATGGTCTGATAGTGCCGCCCAGGGCTCTTTTTGTAGAAAAAGCCCAGCAGGAACTCATTAGCATAATAGGCCACACTCAACAGCAAAACTCATTAGCATATTAGGCCACACCCTGACAGCACTGCTCATTAGCACATTAGGCCGCACCCCCGTGTTACCAGAAGTGTGCTCATCCAGCCACACCCACCTTTCCCTTCTTATTCTGTTTACCTTGTTTGTTGTCAAAACCCAGGGCCTTTTTTTGTAGCAGGAACTCCTTTGCATGTTAGGCCACACACCCCTAATGTAGCTAATCCTAATGAGTTCCTGCTATTGGGTGTGGCTTATTATGCTAATGAGTTCCTGCTGGGCGTGGCCAACTCAGGAGCCAGCCGGAACTCCGTTCCTGTGTGTTCCTGCCCAAAAATAGCCCTGGTTCCGCCACATCTGATTGCCTCACAAGGAGCAAGTGGAGGTCTCCATTTATGAGTGTAATAGGTTGGCCTCCAATCTGGAAGCAGCGAGGATGTTGCCATTCAGAAATACTCTCGAAAGTTTTTTTTCTTGAAAATTCAGGCATTGCTACGAAATCTGTGGCTCTGACTTCTGCCATTGCTAAACTGGAAGGAGACCCTCTTCTTAAGACATCTTCTCACTCGCCACACTTCCCTGTGCAGAAGTGTGACGGTTGTGGGTCCCTTAGGGAACTACCATGTTTACTCAACCCTTTGGCAGGCTGGAACGCAGGGAGAATCGAGAATTTGGCTTATCATAACCCGCAAATTAGCACTCCCGGATCCATCAGTCATTGTCAACTACACACCACTCCTGAAAGCCTTCCCCTCCCTGTGTGCTGGAGGCCAGATGAAACCCCTCATTGCCTGGGACCCCTCCCCTCTCACTCTCTGCGCCTTCCACCCCACCCCTGCTCTTGGGACTGGGTTAATTCCCATTCGTGCCTCTACTGTGAAAAGGGAGTTTAAGGCTACTTTCTCACGCTCATTAAATTCTCATCTATTTGCGTCTTTGGGCCCCGTACTGAGATTGTGGCGAGTTGTTGAGATGCATGTGCGTGCGTGCGTGCATGAATGATTCTTTCACGAGTGATCACAGAGCAGAGAACAGGTGGAGTAACCACTTGGGAAGCCAGACATGCATTTATCTGCCTCTTGTTTACCAAGGGTGACCACCTGCAGGAACGTCCCCTTTAAATTCTAGGGAGGGTTTGGAGGATGAGGGTGTGGTGGATTGTGACTGAAACCCTACGACGACACCACCACCACCACCCTGAGGGGGCAAGCCATTGGCCTGGAATTGGATATACATTGCAGATGAGGTTGGACTGGGCCATGTCAATTATTGGCAACAGAGGGGTGAGGCATTGCTTAGAATGGAACAAAATATGATAGGGAGGATATTAAAGGCCTTCAGATCAGAACCATAGAGTTAATAAAAGGCTAGGCCAGACTGCAGTTCAGGAGCCGCATGCGGCTCTTTCACACAGTCTAATTTAATGTTAATAAAAAGCAAATTTGCATATTTTTCAATAAAAATGTGTGTGTGATATTTGTTCATGTCTTGTGGGTCTCAAACATTTGACGTTTATTCTGTGTGGCTGTTACGTTAAGCAAGTTTGGCCACCCCTGGGCTAGAGTGACCCAGATGTCTGAAAGTTGCTGTTAGGGTGTCAGGAGGACCACAATGCAGATGAATGGGAAGCTCTACCCTCCCATCTAGTTCTGGATTGGGAAATCCCTGGAGGTTTAGGGGTGGAGCCTGGGGAGGGTGAGGTTTGGAGTGGGGAGGGACCTCAGGAGGGTTTAATGCCATAGAGTCCACCCATTCCTTCCAGGGTCTGGAGAGGAGTTATAATTCTGGGAGATGTCCGGGCCTCATCTAGAGGACCCACATTTTTATGAACATAAGAACCAGAGGTCATTTGGGGGGGGAACGCAGGGGATCGCAGTTCCCCCGGGTGAGGTACGGGGGGCGGGGCACATGACGAAGCCCC